CACAACCCTAAGGTGAACCCTGACAGTTTAAATATGGCTCCCAATCAGAGATAACGAGCCGACAGCTGACACTCGTTACCTCCGATTGGGAGTCACATGACGAGACAAGACACTACAACCAAAACCAAACACAACCAAATGAACACACCCTATACCCAACACAACCAAATGAATACACCCTGGCTCAAACTACACAGTCCCGGAGCCAGAGCGTGACAGAGGGTCAGGAACGACAAGGAGGAAGGGGGCCCATATTCACGCAAGAACAAGAGAGAGAGATAATAAACATGGTTTTGGCCAATAATGCTATCAGGCTCAGAGAACTACAAGCCAACATTATCGGTGACCATGCCATTTTCAATAATGTCCATCAGGTCTCTGTCAACACTGGCACGCATCCTGAAAAGACATTAGGCTCAAATGAAACAACTTTATCGAGTGCCTTTTGAGCGGAATTCAGAGAGGGTCAAACGGCTGCGGCATGAGTATGTGGAGGAATGTATTGTTCACTTTAGCACTGTGATGTTGCATACTGCACACATGACTTTTTTACATTGACTGTATACTAGACCTATCCTGAACTACACAATCTTGTCTTTCACTGTATTTCAGAGAGTTTTGCAGATGGATGCTGAGGAAAAAAACTCTAGACCACCTTTACTCCACACACAGAGACGCATACAAAGCTCTCCCTCGCCCTCCATTTGGCAAATCTGACCATAACTCTATCCTCCTGATTCCTGCTTATAAGCAAAAACTAAAGCAGGAAGCACCAGTGACTCGGTTAATAAAAAAGTGGTCAGATGACGCAGATGCTAAGCTACAGGACTGCTTTGCTAGCACAGACTGGAACATGTTCCGGGATTCTTCAGACAGCATTGAGGAGTACACCACATCAGTCACTGGCTTCATCAATAAGTGCATCGATGATGTCGTCCCCACAGTGACCGTACGTACATACCCCAACCAGAAGCCATGGATTACAGGAAACATCCGCACTGAGCTAAAGGGTAGAGCTGCCGCTTTCAAGGAACGGGACTCTAACCCGGACGCTTATAAGAAATCCCGCTATGCCCTCCGACGAACCATCAAACAGGCAAAGAGTCAATACAGGACTAAGATTGAATCGTACTACACTGGCTCTGACGCTCGTCGGATGTGGCAGGGCTTGAAAACTATTACAGACTACAAAGGGAAGCACAGCTGCGAGCTGCCCAGTGACACAAGCCTATCAGACGAGCTAAACCACTTCTATGCTCGCTTCGAGGCAAGCAACACTGAAGCATGCATGAGAGCAGCAGCTGTTCCGGATGACTATGTGATCACGCTCTCCGATGTGAGCAAGACTTTTAAGCAGGTCAACATTCACAAGGCCGCAGGGCCAGACGGATTACCAGGACGTGTACTCCGAGCATGTGCTGACCAACTGGCAAGTGTCTTCACTGACATTTTCAACATGTCCCTGACTGAGTCTGTTGTAATACCAACATGTTTCAAGCAGTCCACCACTCTGTGTTGTTGTTTTTATCGCACTACTATGCTTTATCTTGGCCAGGTCGCAGTTGTAAATGAGAACTTGTTCTCAACTGGCTTACCTGGTTAAATAAAGGTGAAATAAAAAATAAAAAAAATAAAAAAATAAATAGTCCCCGTGCCCAAGGACTCTAAGATAACCTGCCTAAATGACTACCGACCCGTAGCACTGACGTCTGTAGCCATGAAGTGCTTTGAAAGGCTGGTCATGGCTCACATCAACAGCATTATCCCAGAAACCCTAGACCCACTCCAATTTGCATACCACCCCAACAGATCCACAGATGATGCAATCTCTATTGCACTCCACACTGCCCTTTCCCACCTGGACAAGAGGAACACCTACGTGAGAATGCTATTCATTGACTACAGCTCAGCATTCAACACCATAGTGCCCTCTAAGCTCATCACTAAGCTAAGGATCCTGGGACTAAACACCTCCCTCTGCAACTGGATCCTGGACTTCCTGACGGGCCGCCCCCAGGTGGTAAGGGTAGGTAACAACACATCTGCCACACTGATCCTCAACACGGGGGCCCCTCAGGGGTGCGTGCTCAGTCCCCTCCTGTACTCTCTGTTCACCCACGACTGCATGGCCAGGCACGACTCCAACACCATCATTAAGTTTGCCGACGACACAACAGTGGTAGGCCTGATCACCGACAACGATGAGACAGCCTATAGGGAGGAGGTCAGAGACCTGGCCGTGTGGTGCCAGGACAACAACCTCTCCCTCAACGTGACCAAAACAAAGGAGATGATTGTGGACTACAGGAAAAAAAAGAGGACTGAGCACGCCCCCATTCTCATCGACGGGGCTGTAGTGGAACAGGTTGAGAGCTTCAAGTTCCTTGGTGTCCACATCACCAACGAACTATCATGGTCCAAACACACCAAGACAGTCGTGAAGAGGGCACGACAAAGCCTATTCCCTCTCAGGAGACTGAAAAGATTTGGCATGGGTCCTCAGATCCTCAAAAAATTCTACAGCTGCACCATCGAGAGCATCCTGACTGGTTGCATCACCGCCTGGTATGGCAACTGCTTGGCCTCCGACCGCAAGGCACTACAGAGGGTAGTGCGTACGGCCCAGTACATCACTGGGGCCAAGCTTCCTGCCATCCAGGACCTCTATACCAGGCGGTGTCAGAGGAAGGCCCTCAAAATTGTCAAAGACTCCAGCCACCCTAGTCATAGACTGTTCTCTCTGCTACCGCACGGCAAGCGGTACAGGAGTGCCATGTCTAGGTCCAAAAGACTTCTCAACAGCTTCTACCCCCAAGCCATAAGACTCCTGAACAGCTAATCATGGCTACCCAGACTATTTGCACTGCCCCCCCACCCCATCCTTTTACGCTGCTGCTACTCTGTTAATTATTTATGCATAGTCACTTTAACTCTACCCACATGTACATATTACTTCAACTACCTCAACTAGCCGGTGCCCCCGCACATTGACTCTGCACCGGTACCCCCCTGTATATATAGCCTCCCTACTGTTATTTTATTTTACTTCTGCTCTTTTTTTACTGTAGTAGCATGAAAACTGGGACATGTTTTGTTGTGATTCTCCATGTTGACATGTTGACTGATTTGGGTATATGGAGAGAAATAAATGATATTTTCCTCAGTCTGCAGCATTGGTCTTGTGTAGTGTTTGTATAGTTGCACTTTCTCTGTGTACTTCATTTACAGTACTCTAATCACTGAGAATTAGACTTGCTAAAAGTGTTTTAGGTTAGCAACAGCAGTGTGTAAGTGGTTCAAAAAGATTGAAGTCATATGAAATGTGTGTGTTTCGTATGGTAACAAAATATTGTTTTTATGAAGTCGTGTATAGTTTTGACAAAAGTGTTCCATTTTGCAAATGATCTGAAGTGTTGTGCTACTTTGGTGTAGGGTTGTGCTAATTGTGTGTAGTGTTTTGACAAACCGGGCCCTGTTTTCAAAATTGAGCTTAAACAATTGAAAAAAACTGTAACACCAGGCTGTATAGATATGGTCTGATACTCATCCGTGCATTAACAACAGGCTGTATAGATATGGTCTGATAGTCATCCGTGCATTAACAACAGGCTGTATAGATATGGTCTGATAGTCATCCATACATTAACAACAGGCTGTATAGATATGGTATGATACTCATCCGTGCATTAACAACAGGCTGTATAGATATGGTCTGATAGTCATCCATACATTAACAACAGGCTGTATAGATATGGTCTGATAGTCATCCATGCATTAACAACAGGCTGTATAGATATGGTCTGATACTCATCCGTGCATTAACAACAGGCTGTATAGATATGGTCTGATAGTCATCCGTGCATTAATAACAGGCTGTATAGATATGGTCTGATAGTCATCCATACATTAACAACAGGCTGTATAGATATGGTATGATACTCATCCGTGCATTAACAACAGGCTGTATAGATATGGTCTGATAGTCATCCATACATTAACAACAGGCTGTATAGATATGGTATGATACTCATCTGTGCATTAACAACAGGCTGTATAGATATGGTCTGATAGTCATCCATACATTAACACCAGTCTGTATCGATATGGTCTGATAATCATCCATACATTAACAGCAGGCTGTGATGTATAGATATTATCTATCCATAGAAATATAACTGTATGTCCCTTTCCATCCAGGCCGAGCCATTAAGCATGTGAAGGAGTCTATCTTCACCGCAGAGGGAGGAGTGAGGAGGGGGGTTCCCAAGGTACTGGTGGTCCTCACCGATGGCCGCTCCCAAGATGACGTCAACAAAGTCTCCAAGGAGATGCAGATGGAGGGTGAGTGGCATAGGGTGTGTCCCAAATAGTGCCCTATTCTCTGCACTGTATAGTGCACTACTCTGGCCAAAAGTAGTGTGGGAATAGGGTCTTATTTTGGATAAAGCCAATGTTTCTTCCTCTGAGGACAATACACTATTCCATTGTATTATTTACATTTTAGTCATTTAGCAGACGCTCTTATCCAGAGCGACTTACAGTTAGTGAATACATATTTTTTTTTTTTTATACTTGCCCCCCGTGGGAATCGAACCCACAACCCTGGCGTTGCAAACGCCATGCTCTATCAACTGAGCTACATCCCTGCCGGCCATTCCCTCCCCTACCCTGGGCCAATTGTGCGCCACCCATGAGTCTCCCGGTCGCGGCCGGCTGCGACAGAGCCTGGATTCAAACCAGGATCTCTAGTGGCACAGTTAGCACTGCGATGCAGTGCCTTAGACCACTGCGCCACTCAGGAGTATTATATTGTTGAAACAGAACTATTCATGGCTATCATACCAAAACAAAACTTAGAGAGAAATATGTTAGTGGTCACTTAGCAAGCCAGAGAGTGGTAAGATTGGCCAATCAAATAGTTTCCTTGGAATTGTTTTGCTTTATTGCTGAAGAAAACAAAATATTGTTTTAAAATCTTAACAATGGATGTGTTTGTAGGCTACATCATCTTTGCCATTGGCTTTGCTGATGCGGACTATGGAGAGTTGGTGAACATCGCCAGCAAACCCAGTGACAGACACGTCTTCTTTGTGGACGATTTGGACGCTGTCAAGAAAATTGAGGAGCAGCTGATCACTTTTGTGTGTGAGGCTGCCACTGCCAGTAAGTACCGCCAGAACTGAAGTAGCTGGCATTGGAAGTAGTTTCCATAACTGATATACTCTACTGTAGAATAGAGAGCTGGTAGGTTTGGTCATGTGGTTCAATGGAAGAGTTATTATTACAAAGAAGAGGATTCATCAACATTTGAATGATAATAATATGCCATTTAGCAGACGCTTTTATCTCCCTTTGGAGAAACACAGTGGGCAAGAGTCTAGTCGATATGTTCTGTCTTGATCTAAAGTTAATTATGTTATTTTTTAATTAGCAGTGTTCTCTTATAATATAATATAATATGCCATTTAGCAGACGCTTTTATTCAAAGCGACTTACAGTCATGTGTGCATACATTTTTACGTATGGGTGGTCCTGGGGATCGAACCCACTACCTTGGCGTTACAAGCGCCATGCTCTACCAATTGAGCTACAGAGGACCACTTGAATCAATCTTAATAAAAGGATATTGATTCATGATTAAATTACAGTGATTAATATACTATTCATTATTTAACCAACACTTTCATCCATCTTGTTTTAGCTTGTCCATCAGTTCTGATGAGCGGCAACACAATGGCAGGTAAACTATGTATACACATACAGCTTGTTACTGCTTTATAGTCATAGAATGTGTGTCCATATTGAGATAAACCCCTCTCAATCTACAGTCAATATTGATTGTCTGAGACCACTTATTCATTCAAAGGATAGACTCTGTGTCCCTGGCTATTGCATTATCTGGAGCAGCATGTATTCTGCCATGTGGTTGTCGTTAAAACCCAGTCAGATAAAGTTCTAAACATACAGTCTCTGGTGAAGTGTAGGGTATAAGCCGTATTACCCACTTATTCTTCCGTGGGCATTGCGTATACTCCCTTCTTAATCCCCACGATGCGTATCAAAGTATTGCAGTGGAGGTATACACCATATCAATGAATACGGCTGATGGAACAGATCACAATGTTTAGCTTCAAATGTTGATCAACTACTATTTCTTCCCATTTAGGCTATAAGCTACTTTGAAGGAGGCAAGGCCCGCCTCATAATATGAAGTAAAACGTCCAGTTTTAAACAGTAATGGAACAGGACAAATATAGTGATACTAATGATAGGCCTAACCGTCTTCTGGTAGATGGAAAGGCTTTCCCAAAAACCTTCTCTATTAAATGTTAACTAGCTACAAAGTAGCTTATGCCTACCTGTCAGAATGATATCATGATTATTTGCATCAGTCAAGTGGCCATTTGTTTGGCAAACTCCATCTCATGTGCTACAAAAACACTGCTAACCAAACAACAGTGCTAGGTGCCTGTGCATTTAAATTAAAGGGTAACTACACTAAAAAAATCAAAATTTCTTAGATTTTTCCAAGACCTCAAAAGTGGTCTCCTGATGTGGTTTAGGCATTGTTATGGACTTAGAACATCCAATTGTGTTGTTTTTCTATTAAAAACGTGTGACTTTGAGAGCGAAAACCTGAACAAATTTGAAATAAATCTGAAACCTGTGAATTTCTGACTCAGTTGACAGCCTCATTGATCAATTTCCATAGTAGGACTACTATTATCCTACAACACAGTACAGCTTGGGTTGGTTGACTGTGAAAGACCAATATGGATTCATCATTTTAGGTCATTCAGAGTGTATGTCGCTGTTTCTCATAGGATTTTTCACACAGTGCGCCTTTCCTTCGCCAGGTGGGGAATAGGAAATGCTGGTCTTGTCCCCGAGGGAGAGTGGTTGACAGAATTACATTATTCATTTCTATGTATATATCCAGCGCCTAAAGAGTATTTACTACCTTTACACATTATGTTGCTTAAAGATAAAAATGCGTACCATTTTTTATTCTAGTATTGTAGTATCTCTATGGTTCTCTATGGTTCTCTAAGGCTCTCTATGGCTCTCTATGGTTCTCTATGGTTCTCTATGGCTCTCTATGGCTCTCTATGGTTCTCTATGGTTCTCTATGGCGTAGTTATAGTATAGATGTGTGTTCTGCTCCCTCCCTTCTCAGGCTTCAGGATGATGGAGATGTTTGGCCTGGTAGAGAAGGAGTACAGTAACGTAGAGGGGGTGTCCCTAGAACCAGGATCCTTCAACAGCTTCCCCTGCTACAGACTGCACAAAGACGCCCTGGTCTCACAACCCACCAAGTAGGTTCTACTAGGTTCTGTGTCAGTGTGGTTGTCATGGTGATGAGAGGTAGAGGATCAGCTAGGGGCCACACTGAGCTCTACCTCTCTCCTCCAGTGTCCACTCTTGGCATATTATTCCTGGAATATACTCTACACCTGACACACACACACACCTTCAACAGCTTCCCCAAATGATAGGTTAGATGGACGTTTCTCTCTGATAGGTTAGATGGACGTTTCTCTCTGATAGGTCAGGTGGATGTTTCCCTCTGATAGGTCAGGTGGAAGTTTCCCTCTGATAAGTTAGGCGGAAGCTTCCTTCTGATAGGTAGGCGGAAGCTTCCTTCTGATAGGTTAGATGGATGTTTCCCTCTGATAGGGTAGGTAGAAGTTTCCCTCTGATAGGTCAGGTGGAAGTTCTGCCATACAGTATATCTTATAGCCATCCAATCCTTTCAGATCTAAAGACGTGCCTATACCTGGAGGAAGGGGTTGTTCCTGAACTTTCCTCCTCCTCCTCCTCCTCCTAGAGGGGCCTTCTTCCTCCTCCTAGAGGGGCCCTCCTCCTCCTCCTAGAGGGGCCTTCTTCCTCCTCCTAGAGGGGCCCTCCTCCTCCTCCTAGAGGGGCCTTCTTCCTCCTCCTAGAGGGGCCCTCCTCCTCCTCCTAGAGGGGCCTTCCTCCTCCTCCTAGAGGGGCCTTCCTCCTCCTCCTAGAGGGGCCTTCCTCCTCCTCCTAGAGGGGCCTTCCTCCTCCTCCTAGAGGGGCCTTCCTCCTCCTCCTAGAGGGGCCTTCCTCCTCCTCCTAGAGGGGCCTTCCTCCTCCTCCTAGAGGGGCCTCCTCCTCCTCCTAGAGGGGCCTCCTCCTCCTCCTAGAGGGGCCTTCTCCTCCTCCTAGAGGGGCCTTCTTCCTCCTCCTCCTAGAGGGGCCTTCCTCCTCCTCCTAGAGGGGCCTTCTTCTTCCTCCTCCTAGAGGGGCCTTCCTCCACCTCCTCCTAGATGGACCTTCCTCCTCCTAGAGGGGCCTTCCTCCTCCTCCTCCTAGAGGGGCCTTCCTCCTCCTCCTCCTCCTAGAGGGGCCTCCCTCCTCCTCCTCCTCCTAGAGGGGCCGTCCTCCTCCTCCTCTATGGGAGACTTGTACTTCAAAACGTCAGGGGAGGGTCAACCCCACTTGCTAGCCAGAGACAAACACTAGAGCTCTTTGAAATAGCAGCCGCAGTTATTTTCAAGGTCCCTCAAACAATACAAAGTTATTGCCAATAAAAATCACTTAGGGGAGTCTAATCACATGTGAAGTGGTGATAATTAGTGTGTGTGTGTGTGTGTGTGCATGCGTTCTGCTGTACGGTTCCCCTGTGTTGACAGATGTAGTTCTGCTCCTGCTGAGGATAATATTTAGTTTAGGCTTCTACTTTCAAATGTTCAGAGGGGACTGTGTTATTGCAGTGGAGGGTTTCAGCACCTCTACATAGTTTTATGTCTTCAGGGTGACCTGCAAAGGTTGCAGCCCATATCCAAACATCACATCATTTATATAATATATCATGTCATCAGAAGGGCCATTATGCCAGCCAAATGAACTTCCCATTACTCTGTATCAGGTATCGGGACTTCCCATTACTCTGAATCAGATATCGGGACTTCCCATTACTCTGAATCAGATATCAGGACTTCCCATTACCCTGCTTCAGGTTTCAGGACTTCCCATTACCCTGCATCATATATCAGATATCAGGACTTCCCATTACTCTGTATCAGATATCAGATATCTTCAACTAATGATTTCCTATGAGATAATAAAGTACAAGGTGGATATTCTACTGGCAGATTGACTTGAGGCACAGGATCAACACTGATTAAGGTTAGGGTCAGGGTTACACTGTAAAGGGTTAGGGTTTAGGTTACACTGGAAAGGGTTAGGGTTAGGGTTTAGGTTACACCAGAAAGGGTTAGGGTTTAGGTTATACCGGTTAGGGGTTGCCGAGAATTTGACAGTCAATTACAGGCAGTAAAGTGGCAAGTAAGTTACTGTATTTTATATTGCAGTACACCTACTGTAATCCAAAAGCAGTATCAAAGCAAGTACTGTGTAATGACACACAATACAATACTGTATAATTGACTGTTGTGACGAGTACTGAGGATACGAAGAGGCAGGACGCAGGAATCAACAAGGTAAAGTTTTGCTTAACTCCGGACTCTCCACTGACGTGGAACAACAAACCACCGGCAGGCAGGTCTTCCGGCATGAGGTGGACCAGGCTGTGATCCTCTTGGTGATCCAATTGATGGTGGGGTTGTGTAGTCTGAGCCAGGGCAATCCCAAGACGATCCGGTGAAGGGGTGACGTGACGATGTGGAATGACAGCTCCTCGTGGTGCTCCGGTAGTGTGGTAATGGTGATGGTGATGGGGAGAGTGACGTGCGTAATGGTGCCTGATCCAAGTGCTTTATTGTCCAGCGAGGTGACGTGTAGCGGAGAAGGCAGTGGCACGGTGGGCAACCCCCATTCAGAGAACAGCTCCCTATCTATAAGGTTCCCCGCTGATCCGGAATCTATCATTGCAGTGGAAATGGAAGAGAAGGAATAACCAGTCACCGTTATGGGAACTAAAAACAAGGGTTTTGTGATAGGAGATGACGTAACACTCACAGAGCGGCTATGGGAGGCATACCGCCTAGATTGGGAGCTGCCAGGAGATCTGTGGTCCGTGGTGGTGTAGGGGGTGCTGCCCACCTCCATGGGTGAGGACTCGGAGGCAGGGCGGCTTCCATAGCTCAGATGGGATGAGCATCGAGGCTCCGGGAGGTGTTGGGAATGCCGTCTGTCTCTCAACATGTCATCAAGACGGATGGACGTGGCGATGAGGGTATCAAGGTCCATCTCTTCGTCCCGACATGCGAGTTCCATCTTGATGTCCTCCCGTAAGCATCTCCTGAAGGCCTCGCGCAGAGCACACTCATTCCAGCCGTAAGACGCCGCCACCGTGCGAAAGCTCAGAGCGTACTCAGACTCGGGCCCCTCTCCCTGTTGTAGCTGGAGGAGACGCTCACCCCCGTCCTTTCAAACACCGCCCTGAACCGAGCGAGGAAGGTGGAGTAGAGAAGCGCCATGGCCTCACCTCCTTCCCAGACTGCCGTGGCCCAATCCAGTGACTTTCCTTTAAGTAGTGAAATCACCAGCGCTATCCTGGCTTGGTCAGATGGATATGCCCCAGGCTGACGCGCTAGACAAAGTGAAACCTGTAGCAGGAAGCCGCTACATTTAGTAGTTTTACCGTCATAGCGCTCCGGTAGGGCTAGGGTTCCCTCAGAAGTGGCTGATAGCACGGGAACAGGTGGATTGGGTGCACTCGCTGCTCCCTGAGGTGGAACCGGAGCGCTGAGCAGATTATACAGAGTTTGGAGCACTTCCTGCATGGTGGCATTCAACTGGGCAAGCTGCTGCTGGTGTTGGTCGAGGCACTGGGAAACTCCAGGAGGATTACCTGCTGCATCCATTTTTGTGAGAGGTGTGTAATTCTGTGACGAGTACTGAGGATACGAAGAGGCAGGACGCAGACGCAGGAATTAACAAGGTAAAGGTTTACTTAACAATGAGAAAGAGAATAACAACGCGTGCGTAAACGACACGACGCTAACAATTACACACAACAATGACTGAACAGTCCAGGGCTATATAGTGGTGGTGATGAGATGATGAGGTGCAGGTGTGCTGGAGGTGATTAGGGTGCATTGGGTTTCCATTCCTGTGTTTGCCGAGGTGGTGCGCTCAGACCGGTGGCTCAGTAGACCGGCGAATCAGAGCGCCGGAGGGGAGCAACGGGAGGAGACATGACAACTGTATTGTACTGTAAAAAAGTAAATGCTACTGTAATCATAATGAATGAATGGACCAAAAGGACATGGTAAAATACTCAACCATTAAGACTTGATGCCACTCCAATCTGTCCCCTATACATTTTAAATTCCTGTTGCACTATAACCACATATGAGTTAAATTGGTATAGCACTCACAGTAACGGGTGCAACAAATATATCCTCTTACAAGGCACGCCTCCAAATATGTTAATGAGCCAGAAACAACAATACCATGCACCCACTATTGATGGAATTACAGTACCATTTGAAAGACAACAATTATTTCCAAGCACACAACATTTTCCCACAATGCACCATAATTAACAGTATGCTGCAGTAATGCTTTCACAGTATTTTACTGTTGATAATACCCAAAATGACTGTATAAATTACAGTTTCCCGTTACAGTGTAGGCATATGATTTGCCAACCGCCCTCTGGAACCATTCACATCATCTGGCTGCCAGTTAAGTATTGCATCTGTCTGTCTGTCTGTCTGTGTCTCAGGTACCTCCACCCAGAAGGTCTGCCCTCTGACTACACCATCACCATCCTGTTCCGCCTGCTACCAGAGACCCCCCAGGAGCCTTTTGCATTGTGGGAGATCCTGAACAAAGACAATGAACCCCTGGTGGGGGTCATCCTGGACAGTACGTACAGTCTATTCCTCATCACTTCCTGAATCCCTGGCCCTGTGGTTAGAGTTAGGGTTAAGGTTAACCTGCATACTGCATACTCTGCAATTGAGGTCTGTGGTTTACAAAAGTGTGGGGAATTTCCAGCGCTGCAGGGTTAGTTTCCAGCACTGCAGGGTTAGTTTCCAGCACTGCAGGGTTAGTTTCCAGTGTTTCAGGGTTAGTTTCCAGCACTGCAGGGTTAGTTTCCAGCACTGCATGGTTAGTTTCCAGCACTGCAGGGTTTGTTTCCAGTGTTTCAGGGTTAGTTTCCAGCAAATGCAGAGGTTTGTGTTCCAGCAACTGCCGGGGTTTAGTTTTCCAGCACTGCAGGGTTTGTTTCCAGTGTTTCAGGGTTAGTTTCCAGCACTGCAGGGTTAGTTTCCAGCACTGCAGGGTTAGTTTTCCAGCCACTTGCATGGGTTTTTGTTTCCAGCGTTTCCAGGGTTAGTTTCTAGGCTGGGTCTGGCAGGGGTTGCAGGGTTAGTTCCAGGGCTGTCAGGGTTAGTTTCCAGGGCAGCAGGGTTAGTTTCCAGTTGCTGCATGGTTAGTTCCAGAGCTGACAGGGGTAGTCCAGGGCTGCAGGGTTAGTTTCCAGCGCTGCAGTTAGTTTCCAGTGCTGCAGGGTTAGTTTCCAGCGCTGCAGGGTTAGTTTCTAGGGCTGCAGGGTTAGTTTCTAGCTAGTGTGTGAGAGAGATATAGACTGAACACACAGACCAGAGGACCAAGCCAGAGGACTCTGGGATGTGGGTTTGTGGGTTTGTGTAGAATGTACTGTCCCTAATTCTCTCTCTGTCTGTCTCTGTTTCTGTCTCTATCAGATGGTGGGAAGACTCTGACGTTCTTGAACCACGACTACAAGGGAGACTTCCAGACAGTCACATTTGAAGGGCCTGACATCAAGAAGATGTTCTATGGCAGTTTCCACAAGGTACGCAGCCTAGTTCTTCCCCTAGATCATCTATGGCCTCTGGTCAAAAGTAGTGCACTGTATAGGGACTAAGGTGCTATTTGGGACGCAGCCAAAATGTCAGACCCCTCCATCCGTATAATAAAGCCGGAAAATAGAGAATTTAGTAGAAGTCATGTCGAAAAATTATCCCAGAGAATGAATGGGGAAACAACCCACCCCCCTCCATCACAGTAGTCAAAGAGATTTTGAGAAGCCGTCCATCATACTCTCTTCTCCTAGGCTTTGTGTGCCTGGCTGTTTTGAGTGCATTCTAATGTATTCAGAGGCTGCCTGCAGTATATATCTGGTTGTAATGCTGTTCACCCAAGGACTTTATCCTCCCCACACACACACACACACACACACACACACACACATATGCACACACACACACATACACACACACACAGAAATGGACATACACTTACACACAAATGCACACATGCACGCGCAAGCATGCGTACACACACACACACGCACATACACACGGTCACGGTCTCCCCTCCGACTGGATGACAGTTGTATTGTGCAGCGACAGACATGTCCTGCTGGATTGCCCTCACTTTACTCCAGGTGTCTTCATATGGTAATCCCTACACCACCGTGTCACACAGAGGATCCCCTGTCATTATAGAGGAAAAGTGTACATGTGTTTCTGAATGGTGTTACTTCCGGTCAGCTTGGCTACAGTAATGTGACAGACTGAACTGTGATATCTATCTGAGGGTGATGTTTCATCCAGGCTACAGTAATGTGACAGACTGAACTGTGATATCTATCTGAGGGTGATGTTTCATCCAGGCTACAGTAATGTGACAGACTGAACTGTGATATCTATCTGAGGGTGATGTTTCATCCAGGCTACAGTAATGTGACAGACTGAACTGTGATATCTATCTGAGGGTGATGTTTCATCCCATGCAGGGATCAGCAGTAAAGAGTATTCTTATAGGGGAGGACATGCTGTCCTGTGTGTCTTTGACATTGTGAGAGATTTTCTTTCTAGTTTTCTCTGTATGATGTGGGTTACATTTCTAGTTTCTAGCTTCGTAGCATAAAAATGCTTTGCTCTGTCTCCCAGTGTTTCTGAAGCAGAGGCATGGTCTATGTAATGTTTGATTTGGTAACTGGTATTAGGGACCACATTTCTCAGTCTGCTGCTGTGGCTGGTAAGGCAAGGCAGCCAGGGTCTTAGTGTTTATCTGCCTGCCTTGCCTCCATCTGAAATTCATTTACAGAATGTAAATCCACTGGCACAGAGAATTGCCATCCTGAATATTGCTGACCCCAGAAATAACGTCGCTTTTAAACAAATCTCTCTCTCTCTCTCTCTCTCTCTCTCTCTCTCTCTCTCTCTCTCGCTCTCTCTCTCTCTCTCTCTCTCTCCCTCTCTCTGGAGATGAGGCTATTATGGATTTCTGCAGATTTGACTTAAAGGGGTAATCAGAAATGTATTTCCCAGCCAAAGTGTTGCCAATTGTGCTATAAAGCTACAGTAAGTAACCCCTCTCAAATTCTGAGATGTAAGATATGGATGCAAGGGGCGGGGTTATCATGGTAACAGCTAAAGTATTCCATATCCTCTTTACATGGCTAATGGGGAGAAGAGAGGAGAAGTAAGGAAAATGTGCTGATTCATAACTCTCTCCTTCATGCATTTCTCTCCTAGAACATTTGGTGTCAAGGTGGCAATGTTTAGAATACATTGAGATGGATTATGCTGATACACAGCTTTTAATACCAGCATACATTACAGTAAAGCATGGAGAGTTTACATCTCACATAGCTGAGGTATTATCCAGTAAAACTACCTGAAGCAGAATAATTTAAGCAATGGATGTTGAAATAAAACTTTGTAGACTACGCCACCATTGATGAATGGATGGGATTCTCATATTGGACTTTCTGTATTTAGTCTCTAAGACAAGAAGTCTAATTAAGGATATTGTTTCTACCACTCTGAAGTGATACCATACTAAAAGAAGTCTAATGAAGGATATTGTTTCTACCACTCTGAAGTGATACCATACTAAAAGAAGTCTAATGAAGGATATTGTTTCTACCACTCTGAAGTGATACCATACTAAAAGAAGTCTAATGAAGGATATTGTTTCTACCACTCTGAAGTGATACCATACTGAAGAAGTCTAATGAAGGATATTGTTTCTACCACTCTGAAGTGATACCATACTGAAGAAGTCTAATGAAGGATATTGTTTCTACCACTCTGAAGTGATACCATACTAAAAGAAGTCTAATGAAGGATATTGTTTCTACCACTCTGAAGTGATACCATACTGAAGAAGTCTAATGAAGGATATTGTTTCTACCACTCTGAAGTGATACCATACTGAAGAAGTCTAATGAAGGATATTGTTTCTACCACTCTGAAGTGATACCATACTGAAGAAGTCTAATGAAGGATATTGTTTCTACCACTCTGAAGTGATACCATACTGAAGAAGTCTAATGAAGGATATTGTTTCTACCACTCTGAAGTGATACCATACTGTACTCCATCGGTTTCCTGTATATTTTCTCTCTGAGTCATTGTCAGTCCCATACATTAGAGGAGGCTGTTTTGTAAGAAGATGCAAAATGCACTCTGCCTATCTGCTGTAATAGAAAAACCCATCAGTCCTCACACGGTTAGAAATCCAGAGCTGAAAAACAGGGATATCTTAAATGGAAAAAGCAAGCAAACAAATGAAGCGCTGCATATTGCAGTAGAGAGCAGCGAGGAGCGAGGAGGATGTCAGTGACACTCGCTGTTCGCATTAAAAACACAGCTAGCGCGCTGGATGAAATAGGCTAATACATCATGTTGGCACTCAAATTATAACACAATTGATCAGAGGGCCCATCTGACCCACAGGACTGAGTGTGTGTGTGTGTGTGTATGTTGGGCTACATGTGTGTCTCTCCTCTCTCTCCTTTCCTCTATACTTCTAATCCTGCTCTCTTCACCGTCCCCTCCGTCCCCGTCCTCCTCTCTTCACCGTCCCCTCTGTCCCTGTCCTCCTCTCTTCACCGTCCCCTCCGTCCCTGTCCTCCTCTCTTCACCGTCCCCTCTGTCCCTGTCCTCCTCTCTTCACCGTCCCCTCCGTCCCTGTCCTCCTCTCTTCACCGTCCCCTCTGTCCCCGTCCTCCTCTCTTCACCGTCCCCTCCATCCCCGTCCTCCTTTCTTCACCATCCCCTCCGTCCCTGTCCTCCTCTCTTCACCGTCCCCTCCGTCCCCGTCCTCCTTTCTTCACCGTCCCCTCCGTCCCCGTCCTCCTCTCTTCACCGTCCCCTCCGTCCCCGTCCTCCTCTCTTCACCGTCCCCTCCGTCCCTGTCCTCCTCTCTTCACCGTCCCCTCTGTCCCCGTCCTCCTCTCTTCACCGTCCCCTCCGTCCCCGTCCTCCTCTCTTCACCGTCCCCTCCGTCCCTGTCCTCCTCTCTTCACCGTCCCCTCCGTCCCTGTCCTCCTCTCTTCACCGTCCCCTCTGTCCCCGTCCTCCTCCCTTCACCGTCCCCTCCGTCCCCGTCCTCCTCTCTTCACCGTCCCCTCCGTCCCTGTCCTCCTCTCTTCACCGTCCCCTCTGTCCCCGTCCTCCTCCTTCACCGTCCCCTCCGTCCCCGTCCTCCTCCCTTCACCGTCCCCTCCGTCCCCCGTCCTCCTCTCTTCACCGTCCCCTCCGTCCCTGTCCTCCTCCCTTCACCGTCCCCTCCATCCCCGTCCTCCTCTCTTCACCATCCCCTCCGTCCCCGTCCTCCTCTCTTCACCGTCCCCTCCATCCCCGTCCTCCTTTCTTGACCGTCCCCTCCGTCCCCGTCCTCCTCCCTTCACCGTCCCCTCTGTCCCCGTCCTGAATATCATCATCAAGGCCATGGGGTTCATCCCTTAAACTACCATCCCTATCATAGCCACTCTCAGACAGACAGACACATCCACAGCAGAGATACTGTCCCCATGACATTGGTCAGACTATGAATAAACACTGTTCGATTAATGGCCTTTGTCCCAAATGGCACCCTGTTCCCTATATAGTGCACTACTTTTGACCAGAGCCTCATTAGCCTCATCGACTCTGGTCAAAAGTAGTGCACTATATAGGGAATAGGATGCAGCCCAGGCCTTGTGGATACAGTGTTAGTTGGTAGACTGTTGAACTTCTCTTGTTCAGGCAAAACATTTGTTGTTCAGGCAATTGTTGGTTCAAAAAATGGTTCTCTCTCTTGCAATTGTCTGTAGCTGAAAAGGAGGCTGATATGCTGTCCGTGTGTTGGGTTAAGTATATCTCTAAACCCACAACAGTAGTCCTGGGCAGTGTCCCAAATGGCACCCTATTCCCTATATAGTGTAATGGGCTCTGGTCAAAAGTAGTGCACTATATAGGGAATAGGGTGAGATTTGGGACTGAACCTTGGATCCAACCACATAACACAGGCAGGCAGGCAGCTAGGCTTTGACACGCTCTGACATATAGAAACACAATCATACCCAGTGAACTGGAGAAAATAGGTTCACTCCCAAGAACCCATTAAAACGACCATACAGAGTATTACAGACGTCACAGACCGGCCAAATGGATTCTGTTTCTGACGCACAAATATGAACTCTGTCTAACTTCAGATTAGCCTCATCTTGTTATTGTGGGGCTGAGACGTACTTTTCTCTGGTAATGTTATGTTTGTATCTCAAATTGCACCCTATTGGGCTCTGGTCAAAAGTAGTACCCTATGTAGGGAATAGGGTACCATTTGGGACGCGGCCATTATGATTACGGTTGTAACTCAGCTTTGTATCCCAGAACAGCAGAGGAGCCTGTCTGGGAAACCTGTGATTTATTGTGAATCGCTACAATACATTGTGACAAGGAGAAAGTTGATAGGTGCGCATGACAGGTAAATCTTGCAGTCATGTACGCAATATTTATTGAGAAACAATTTCTTGAACATTGTTTCGAGGTG